AGAAATGGATGACTCTTTTTTGTCTGATTACTTGTAATTGGTTCCAGCTTAATAAGCAAACATTACTTTAATGAAGCTTCTGAGTTTATCATGGTCTGGATCATGTTGGTGTGAGGTGGTGTGCCTTGGTTCCAGGATTAACTTGTCACCTTAGGGCATAGCTGATTTATACTTATACAACATTTTGTCTTTTAGGGATGGAATATAAGTTTACTCATTATCTAGGGCATAGGATGCATAGGATAGAGAGCTATTTTAACCTCTGTATCTGCTCATTTAGAAAATGTGTTGTGATGGACAAGCATTGGAAAGAGAGAGAGAAAGGTAAGGAAGTAAGGAATAGCTAAAAGAACTAACATGTAGCAGTTCTTTTCCATCGCTGGTGTCATACATGGGTAAAAGCATGGTCCTAGAGTTAAAAAAAACTTAGTTATAGTGTCAAATGAGTCACCAGTTATACCTATTTTGTAGGACACGACACCTTATCTTTCTGGGTCTCAGTTTCCTCACAATGAGGGGTTGACCCTGGTGATTTTACCTGCTCTGAGATTCCATGATCCTGCTGTTTTCGATTACTGTGAAAATTGACCATAGTTCATTCAGTCCTTGGTAGTTCATTTCAGGCTCATCTTTTTTAATGTTTTGGTAAGCAAAATAAGAAAGAGACTTGATAGAAGTTGACACAGAGAGAGCCATTCAGGGAGACAATCTTATCCTTCAATACTACCAATTCTATCCACTTCAGGAAGGTCAGATTAGTTTGTCCTGCAGCTGTTTGCTTGAGCCTTCTTTTTTTTTTTTTTTTTTTTTCAGAAGTTCTATCTCTCAGAATTTGCTAAAATGTTGCTCTATTCTTTAAATTTCTTGTATATTGAGGATAAGTGTTTATCTTTCTCATGAGTAAGTTTTTAGGGTACTTAATTTCTTAATATTTGGAGATACATATTCAACGAATGCTATTTTTCTTTTTATAAAATCTCATAAATGTAAACATTTAATTTTCTTTTCTAAATTCTTTGAATTCTTTTTAATTCTTGTGATGGATATTTGATTTTAATAAACGTTTAAATATAAAATAGTTTTAGATTTATACAAATTTTGTGCAGTAGATAACCCACACCTGATTTTACCTATTATTAATATCTTACTTGAGTATGATGCACTTATTATAATTAATAAAACAACGCTGACATATTATTGTCAACTAAAGTTCAGATTTTCCTAAGATTTTCTTAGTTTTTGGCTAAGTTCCTTTTTTTCTGTTCTAGGATTCTATATATGACATCACATTTCATGTAGGCCTGTTTCCTTAGTCTCCTCCTGGCTGGGACTGCTTTTCAAACTTTGCTTGATTTTGTTGACCTTGATGGTTTTGAAGAAGTGCTGTTCATGCAATTTGTAGAATGTTTTTCAGTAGTGATTTATATTGTGGTTTGCTTATGATTAGACTGGTCTTATGGGAGTTTGGGAAGGGAGACCCCAGAAGCAAAGTGTCATTATTATCATGTCATAGCAAGGGTACATACTAATCAACATATGCAACCACCTTGATTATCTGTCTAAATTACTGTTTTCAGGTTTCTCCACTATAGAGTTATGTTTTTCTCCTCTTTCACACTTTATTCTTTGGAAGGAAATCATATACATAGTCTACACTTTAAGGATAGGAGTTATGTTTCACCTCCTTGAGAATGGAGTATCTTTGTAAATTATTTGGAATTCTTTGGCATGAGAAACTTCTTTCTTCTCTCTTATCTGTTTATTTAATTAGCTCTTTATATTGGTATGGGTTGATGGATATTTATTTTATATTTTAGGTGATAATCCAATGTAATTTTATTATTACTTTTCCTGCTTTGGTCATTAGGGGCTTTTGCAGTTAGTTCATGTGCCATTATTTTGTTATATACCCATCAATGTGGGTTTTGTTTCTTCTTATTCTTGAATGTAGCATTCTCCAGACTGATATTGTACAAGTACTGCCCTAGTCCTAGAATCAGATATTTCTCTAAAGATATTTGGTTCCTTTATGGGAGAAAGGTATTAGAAACCAAAATCTGGGCTTTAGGTGTTGCTATTAGTGTGTTGTCTCTTGTAGATTATTATAGCTGACAGAACAAGAAAATATATGTGTGTATGCTAAATTGTGCATAAACACACACACATCTCTAAACATTTCCATCTGTGTCTATATTAAGCTAGACAAGAGTTCATACCGATGTTCCCAACTGTAACCATTACCACATGGATTATTCTAGTCTTGTCTCTGCTTGTCTGTTATCTACCACTCCAATAGTGAGAAATCATTTTCTCACCATCCATCATCCATTTACTTTATTGTAAAATTACAATATCACGTGTTTTTTCTAATAACTGTTAACTATTTCTCCATGGAAACAACTTTATCAAGGAGAGTTTAGTGCTTATGCTAAATTTCCTTTACATTTAGTCTTACAGTCTTCACTCTTTCCAAACTTAGGTGAGCATACTCTTCAGCAAAATTATTCCATGCATTTTATTCATGCATTTTTAATAGTTACGTTCTTTGGTCAAGGTCTGCTTTCCATATTTGAATGGTTTTTTTTTTAACAGATTTTTTTTTTTGTGAATGCCAACTTAATGTCTTTGGATATTCTGTTTTAATTTTTTTATTTACTTCTCATCTCTTTCTTTCTTCCCACCTTCCCATGAATGTATCTGCTAGCGTGCCATTTCTTGCATAGCATTATGATTATTTGTTTACATGTCCTTTTTTTTTTTTTTGAGATGAACTTTTGCTCTTGTTGTCCAGGCTGGAGTGCAGTGGCACGATCTTGGCTCACTGTAACCTCCCTGTCCCAGGTTCAAGCAATTCCCCTGCCTCAGCCTCCCAAGTAGTTGAGATTACAGGCATGTGCCAATACACTCGGCTAATTTTGTATTTTCAGTAAAGATGGGGTTTCTCCACATTGGCCAGGCTGATCTCAAACTCCCAACTTCAGGTAATCTGCCCACCTTGGCCTCCCAAAGTGTTGGGATTACAGGTGTGAGCCACCACACCCAGCCTGTTTACATGTCTGTCTTATTCTCCACTGATGTAGTTGGATTTTGTCCTCACTCAAATCTCATGTTGAATTATAATCTCCTGTGCTTGAGATGGGTCCTGGTGGGAGGTGTTTGGATCCTGGGGACAGATCTCTTATGGCTTGATGTTGCCTTTGTGATAGTGAGTTCTTCCGAGAGCCCATCATTTAAAAGCGTGTAGCTCCTCCTTCCCACTCTGTCTCTCACTCCTGCTTTCACCATGTGAAGTTCCTGCTTCTGCCTCACCTTTCATCATGAGTAAAAGATTCTTGAGGCCTCCTCAGAAGGAAATGCTGGCATTGTTTCCTGTACAGCCTGCAGAACTGTGAGCCAATTACATCTCTTTTTTCATAAATTACCCAGTCTCAGGTATTTCTTTACAGCAATGCAAGAATGGCTTAATACCAGTCACTGCACAATATAGTCTTCCTGAGCTGAAATTAAATTGTCTTCTCCCTAGTGCCTAGTATGACATTTGTGATATAGTAAGTGCCAATTAAATGTTTGGGTCAATGAGTTTTGAAGTCTTAGGTGAACAGAGCAGCATTGTCATGTACCAGGCTTACATAGTTGGGTGCCTTCAGATAGAAAGTTAACCTGCTTTTTAGGTGTTTACATGTAACATTTGACCTTATACACAACGTAATGTGCAAGCGTGGAGTCTCTGTAGTCAAAATGCTTAGTGGTGAATCCTGGCTCCACCACTTACAAGTGAACTTAACTTGCAAGTGAACTTATAAAGAGAACTTAACTTCTTTATCCCCCAGTCCTCTCCTCTGTAAAACGTGAATAATAAGAAAATCAAGCTCACAGCATTATCCTGAGTTCAATGAGAAAATACTTATGAAAGCATTTGACATAAGACCTAGCACATATAGCTTTAAAAAGGCAAACATTATTATTATTGAATTACTTTCATAAAATGTTATTCTTAAGAGGCATATCTAAACTATTCTTTCTCTTTTTCCATTTCCTTTGATAGAATATTTTAATCTAAGTTCTCTTCCTTTATTTCTAGAGATTTGATTATTTTTCTCCTAATATTTGTGTGTGTTTATGTCCTTTTCCTGAGCAGTGAGCAGACTGATTATTTTTCAGAACATACTCCCTAGCTTGGCTTCTGGCTTGAGAGGTAATTATTTTGGCATTATCTTCCACTGCCCTGTATTTGCCATCTGTTGGCAACATCATTGAAATCATCTGAGTCTTCTGTATTCTGGCAGGATTTTATCTTTTTATTGGCTCTACCTCCAACTTAAGTTTTATCTGACAAATGGGAAATTTGGCTAATTTCTGAACTAGGCCTGAATATTTCAGGGTTTTGTAGAACATCTGTAGTTTGCAGTTTGGAAAGGTATCTGTTTTCTTTCCTAAAACCCTATTAAATATGAGAGAAAAGAATAACTTAAGAAGAAAAAAAATGGCTAAATTTAGTGTTAATTTTGGTTTATGCTATAATTTTATTAACTCAGAACTATCCAAAAAATGACTCAACTTTGTAATTTCTGCACTACAAATGGAAATTATCTATTAACACTGAGACTTTTTTTTTTTTAAGAGAATCCGTGTCTTACAATACTTCAACATGACTGTCTAGTTCTTGATTCTGTCCATTTTCCCATAGGTCTTCCAATTGCTTGATGTTCTTTTAAAATGCCATTTTCAAGGACTATTTAACAGGCTGAGTTTATATCCCCAGAATCACTGCTTTTCAGGTCATATGAAGGATATTCTCACTCTGTCACATTCTTTTTTTCCCGTGCACATTTGTTATTTATCTTGCATCTGGATCTATGCCAAAGCTGCCTATAAATCTTAGTGGAGTACCTCTTAGCCTCCGAATTCCCATTATCTGTCGTGGAAGCATATTCTTGAAAGAACTACAGGAGGGAAATGATAATAAGTGATCCTCTCATTTTCCCCATTCTTTCTTTCAGACTTGCCAAAGAAACTGCTTATTTCACAGAAGGACGGTATTGGCTGAAAGGTGCTTCCTTGAAACTGAGAGATTGCTGCCTTAGACAGGTACATCCTTGAAGATATATTTGATTTGCTTTTTAATTGTTGGATCTAAAAATCTGTGATATGAACTATTGGAAATACTAGCCTGAAACTTTAGCTATCTGCATTATTTCTGTTTGCATTCTATATAGTGTGTCACTTAGGAACATACTGAAGTAAATTAAATATAGATGTTTGGTTATATGTTAGAGTTTCACATTCATTTGATAAAAGCTACAACTATCCTTTAGACAATACATACATAAATAATAAAAAGATTGATAATGTCTAGTGTTGATAAAAGTATAGGGAAGTAGTTACAATCATTCTTACATCTTGCAGAATAATATTGATTGCAGCAACATTTTGGGGAGGTTAACATGGCAGCATCTAGCCAAGCTTTGAGAATCTTTTATTCCTTTATCAATACATATAATAAAAATCAGTTGAGCACTTACTATGTGCCAGGAACCATTTTAGTTACTGGGGATATGGCAGTGAAAAAAGTAAGTCCTTATTGCTGTGGGTCATACTCTTATTTGGAGTAGGACTAGAAACAGAAAATAAACAAGTAAATCCAAAGTATGTCAGATGTATTTAATGCTTGGAACAAATAAGGTGAGGTAGAAGGAGACGACTACTTCTTTTGAGGTGTACGTTACTGATTTTATGTAGCATGTTCAGGAAGGGGCCCGCTGAGAAGGTGACATTTGAGTGGAAACCTGAAGTATGTGAGAGTGGGGCATGCAGAGACCTAAGCAAAGACAGCTCCAAGTAGAGGGAACAAGCAAATGCAAGAAACTCTAAGGTGAAGGATTGCATCATTTTAGATTCACGGAATAGTGCTGAGGCCAGTGTGTCTGGAGTGAAGCTACTGTGTAGGGAGTGGTAGGAGATGGGGTCAAAATGATACCAAGGATGAAGATGAGCAATTCACAAAGAGACACACAGGTCATCGGAGGACTTAGTCTTTTGCTCTAAGAAAACTGGCAACCACTGATGGATTGGGGCAGAAGACTGTCACAGTCTAAATTCTGATTTTTATGTACATGATAAAAGTGCAAGGACAGAACAGGCACACTAGTTAGACTATTATAGGAATCTAGAGGCTGTTGCTTTTAATTTCTATGTAAATAAACACATCAGAACATAAGGCTCTATATGCAGGGATGTTTGTTGCAGCACTGTTATGTCACCTCATTATAGAAAACACTGAATGCTGTATCTATAGGAGACTGGTTGGATAAATACTGCTACCTCCATACAATGGAGTAGCATATGTGTATTAAAAGAGTAAATTAGGACTGGGTGTGGTGGCTCACACCTTTAATCCCAGCACTTTGGGAAGCCTAGGCAAGAAGACTGCTTGAGGCCAGGAGTTTGAGAGCAGCCTGGGCAACACAATGATTCCATCTACAAAAAATTTTTAAAAATTAAAAACTTAGCTGGGTATCATGGTGTGGACTTGTAATTCTAGCTACTCAAGAAGCTGAAGTGGAAAGATTGCTTGAGCCCAGGAATTTGAGGCTGTAGGGAGCTATGATCACATCATTGTACTCTAGGCTGGGCAACAGAGTGAGACCTGTCTCAAAAATAAAAAAAGAAAAAGGAAAAGGATGAGTTAGAATTTTGGCCTGACGTCAAAGCTTGTGCTTTTCTGTGCTTTAACTCCTACATTGCGTAACTCCAAGTCGAATGGTTCTTTTCTTAATGGGAATAAGGCCATGAGTCTTTGAAGGCTAGAAACCCATTAATATTTATTTTCATACTCAGACAATTTATGATCTAGCATCATTGTTAGCATATAAGACTCACTCATTACTTAATTATTTAGTAAATTGGTTGGGAATTATAACTAAATATCCTGTCATTTTAATCTTTGCCATAGAAATTACTTATACTAACACTGAAAAAAATTTTCATAATTTACTTTTTTTTCCAAATGGAAATCTCCCTTGTGAGTAAGATTGTAGACTAGCACAAACATGCAGAATGTCTTTGTGTGTGAATTAGTAAGCATCATGTGAGGAAGAGCTATAACTTATTATTTGGGATCTCTGTATATGCTTTGCAAAGGAAATCACATCTGAATGCTCCTTTATTGTATCATGTGCAGAACTCTGAATTCTGAATGAAATTTAGGTTCAGGCAATTAAGTCCATAAAAAATTTGTTGTTTAGGTAGATTTATTTACTTCCACTTTTATTTTAAATTCAGGGGATATATGTGCAGGTTTGTTATAAGGGTAAATTACATGATGCTAAGGTTTGGGGTTCTTTATACTTAAAGAATGTAAAGAACATTGGGTAGGAGAAGCTTGATTTCTCATTTTGATATAATTTTTAAAAGGACAAATATCTGGCTTGGTGTGGTGGCTCATGCCTGTAATCCCAGCATGTTAGGAGACTGGGGCAAGTGGATTGCCAGAGGTCGGAAGTTTGAGACCAGGCTGGCCAACATGGTGAAACCTCATCTCTACTAAAAATACAAAAATTAGCTGGGCGTGGTGGCAGGCACCTGTAATCCCAGCTACTTGAGAGGCTGAGGCAGGAGAATCGCTTGAACCTGGGAGGCGGAGGTTGCAGTGAGCAGAGGTTGTGCCATTGCACTCCAGCCTGGGTGACAAAAGCAAGACTCCATCTCAAAAAAAGAAGAAAAAAAAAAAAGACACATGTCTTTATTTTCCTAATAGTTAATTATTTACACTCAGTTTTTCTGGTATCTAAAACTTTGATTCTCACTGCAATGAACATTTAAGGTAATTTTTCAGTAGGATTTCCCTGCCCAATACTTCCTTTACAAACTTCTTTGAAGTAACGTTACCCTAATGTTGCTCTTGAGTTGTATTAAACCCTCAAATATAAAAAAAATTGAAAATTATTGTTTTCTAAAGATAATGCATCTATATATAGATATATATTTCAAGTGATATTAACCGTAAGTAGAAAAATGTACATAGAAAGAATGTTATTATCCATGATCTCATCAACTGGTTATATCCATATAACATTTTGTTGAATAATCTTCCATGCTGTCGTTGATTCATTCATTGGCTCATTTATTTAGTCCTTCAGTTTGTTTAATAAATATTATTGCTTTCCTACCCTGTGCCAGGTAATAGGTTTTGAGAATACATTAGTGAAATAAGCCTATGAGGTCTTTGACCTCAAGAAGCAAATTAATACAGGAGGAGACTCAGATAATAAAGATATATTTATGTTTATGTACGTAAAAAATCATATATTGAGAAATTCTATGAAAAGAAATAAAGTAGGATGTGGGGAAAGGAACATGAGGACAGGGTGCTTGATGTTGTTTAATTTTTATTATTTTTGTATTTCAATAGTTTATTGGGGAACAGGCGGTGTTTGGTTACATTAGTAAGTTATTTAGTGGTGATTCATGAGATTTTGGTGCACCCATGACCCGAGCAATGTACAATGCACAGTATTTGTAGTCTTTTATCCCTCACACCCTTCCTACCTTTTCCTCCTGAGTCCCCAAAGTTTATTGTTTCATTCTTATGCCTTTGCATCCTCATTGCTTAACTCCCATGTATGAGTGAGAACATAGATGTTTGGTTTTCTGTTTCAGAGTTACTTCACTTAGAATAATAGTCTCCAATCTCAACCAGGTCACTGTGAATGCTATTAACTCATTCCTTTCTGTGACTGAATAGTATTCCATTGTGTGTGTGTGTGTGTGTGTGTGTGTGTGTGTGTGTGTGTGTGTATATACACACACAGTTTTTTTATCGACTCATTGATTTATGGTTGTTTGGGTTGGTTCTATGATTTTGCAATTGTGAATTGTGCTACTATAATCATGCATGCCCAAGAATTTTTTGTGTGTAATGACTTCTTTTCCTCTGGGAAGATACCCAGTAGTGGGATTGCTGGATCAAATGGTAGATCTATTGTTAATTCTTTAAATAATCTACATAGTGTTTCCATAGTGGTTGTCCTAGTTTATATTTCCACCAGCAGTGCAGAAGTGTTCCCTGTTTACTGCATCCATGCCAACATGTATTGTTTTTAGGGTTTATGATTATGGCCATTCTTGCAGGAGTAACATGGTATCACATTGTGGTTTTAACTTGCATTTCCCTGATCATTAGTGATGTTGAGCATTTTTCATATGTTTGTTGGACATTTGTATATCTTCTTTTGAGAAGGGCTCATGTTCTTAGCCCACTTCTTGATGGAATTTTTGTTTTTTTCTTGTTGACTTGTTTGAATTCAGGCTGATGTATAGATTGTGAAGATTTTTTCCCACTCTGAAGGATTGTGTTTTTACTCTGCTGACTCTTCCTTTTGGCATGCAAAAGTTCTTTAGTTTAACTAAGTTCTAGCAATTTATCTTTGTTTTCATTGCATTTGTTTTTGGGTTCTTGGTCATGAAATCCCTGCCTAAGCCAATATCTAGAAGTGTTTTTCCAATGTCTTCTTCTACAATTTTTATAGTTTCAGGTCTTAGATTTAGTCCATCTTGAATCCATCTTGAGTTTATTTTTGTATAAGGTGAGAGGTTAGGATCCAGTTTCATTCTGCTGCATGTGGCTAGCCAATTATCCCAGCGCTATTTTTGAAAAGGATGTCCATCCTCCACTTTATGTTTTTGTTTGCTTTGTTGAAGATCAGTTGGCTTTAAGTATTTGGGTTTATTTCTGGGTTCTCTATTTTGCTTTATTGATCTATGTGCCTATTTTTATACTAACACTATGCTGTTTCGGTGATTATGACCTTATAGTATAGTTTGAAATAAGGTAATGGAATGCTCCAGATTTGTTCCTTTTCCTTAGTCTTGCTTTGGCTATGTGGGCTATAAATTTTAGAATTGTTTTTTCTAATTCTATGAAGAATGATAGTAGTATTTTGATGGGAATTGCATTTGTAGATTGCTTTTGGCATTATGGTCATTTTGACAATACTGATTCTACTCATCCATGAGCATGGGATGTGTTTCCATTTGTTTGTGTCATCTATGATTTCTTTCTGCAGTGTTTTGTAGTTTTCCTTGCAGAA